TACGGATGACTCCTCAAACTGTACCTCCCACACAGATCAAATGATGACCTTAAAAGCAAAGAATACCCCACATACGAACAGTTTTACAAACGATGTGACGTACGAGCTCTGGTCGACATCAACAAGAAAAAGTATGAAGGACATGGCAAACAATTTGAGAAGGCACTGGAAACAATTCAAAAGGAAGGCCTGGTCGTTGATGCATGGAACACCTTTGCACCCGAGGTTGAAGTGGATCGTTTGGAGTGCATCGCCGAACTAAAAGCCATAAACCCCATTAATGACAACGAAATGGACAACATACCAGACTTCCAAGTGAATCGTGACAGCAGTATAGCTGTACCAGCAATAGAGGCACCAAAGCTGAGCCCGGACTTTGTGAGGAAGCTATACCAAAGCTTAAATGAAACACAGGCATGCATATTTTGCACTGTGCGTGAATGGTGCCTCAAATGTGTCTGGGGACACAATCCTGAACAGTTCTTTTACTTTGTCAGTGGTGGAGCTGGTTGTGGAAAGTCACATGTAATCAAATGCATACATGAGGAGGCGACCAAGATTCTGCGCCAACTCCCAAGATTCCACGACCAGGGAGACATGTCCATGCCTGCAGTGCTACTGACTGCATTTACTGGTACTGCAGCCTTCAACATCTCTGGCAAGACCTTGCATTCAATGTTAAAATTGCCAAGAAGTTTGAAACCACCATATCAGGGACTTGGAAATACATTGGATGAAATGAGAGCAATACTGTCCAATGCAGAAATTCTGATCATAGATGAAATCTCCATGGTTTCAAAGGAGTTATTTGCCTACGTCCACTGGAGATTTCAGCAGATCAAAGGCAACAAGAAACCCTTTCGGAGGCATGTCTGTTTTGGCAGTAGGAGACTTTTACCAACTGCCACCGCTTGGCAAAGCAAAACCACTTTGCGTGTATGAGGAGGGCGTGCTCGACGTTTGGAAAGACAACTTCCAAATGGTCAATCTGACACAGATCATGCGGCAGAAAGATGATCTTGTGTTTGCAGAGCTTCTCAACAGGTTGCGGGTAAAGAGGAAGACAGACGCACTCAGAGACGATGACAGAGCTTTACTCACCCAGACTGTCATCAACATCCAAGACTGTCCACTCGATGCCCTGCATATCTTTGCAACAAACAGAGAGGTTGATGAGCACAACCGAGCAACTGTAGCAGCTCTACATCGTGATTTTGTCAACATTAAGGCACAGGACTACGCTAAAGACCCCACCACAGGTGAAATGATCCAGACAAGAGGCTTCAAAGGGAAAAAAAGAGACCTACCTGACTGCATACAAGCTGCACACGGTGTACGCATTATGATACTCAGGAATCTTGATGTGGAGGACAGACTTGTGAATGGAACATTTGGAACCATTGCCAACATCGTAACAGGCCAGCAAGATGGACAAACAAGAGTGACAATGATTGGACTTCAACTGGACAATCCAACCTCCGGACAGAAATTACGTAAAAAGATCCAAGGGCAATCGGATAACCTGGTCTACATTGAGAGAACTGAGGAGAACATGACCAAAAAAGGAGCCGTTCGGAGGCAGTTCCCAATGAAGTTGGCCTTTGCCTGCACAGCTCACAAAGTGCAAGGCATGACAATGGAGTCTGCAGTGGTGTCTCTGAAGCGCGTGTTTGAGTCTGGAATGTCGTATGTTGCCCTCAGCAGGACAACCTCACTTCAAGGCCTGCACATCACGGATTTTGATGAAAAGAAAATCTACGCTGATCCTGAAATCACAGCTGCAATGGAAAACATGAACCAAGCATCATTCGAGAGCACAAGACCACTCTTGCAGCATGTGAAATTGCCAGATGGAACAGCCCAAAACATCACAATTATTCACCACAACACACAAGGACTTCCATCTCACAATGAGGACCTTAAATGCCACCATGAACTGACACTTGCTGATGTGTTATGCATCACAGAAACACATCTGTCTGGATCGTTTGTTTCCTCCAAGTTCCAGTTGGAAGGATACAACATGTTTACACGCAGCAGACAAGGGTCCTACACAAACCTTTCGGACATGGCAACAAAAGATGGTGGCGGTGTTGCAGTGCACTGTAAGAGCCACATTCAAGCAGAGGCTCGGAGGTACTTCCAAAATGTGACTGATCTCGAGTTTGTAGTCGTCAAACTCGTGGCCCCAGTCAGAGCAGTGATTGCAGCTGTTTACAGACCACCACTCTTCTGTCTCAAAAAGTTTCTGCCAAACATGGAAAGCCTCTTGGACATGATGAATCACCAGCCAGTCATTGTTTGCGGAGACTTTAATGAGGACCTTCTATGCAAAGGAAAGAAGTCAATACAGGAGTTGTTCCAATCGAAAGGATACACACAACTCATCACAGATGCAACAACTGAAAACAGGACACTTCTCGACCACATTTACGTGTCTCAACCACATACCTGCGTCCAGTCTGGTGTACTGCAAACTTACCACAGTTATCACAGTCCCGTCTACTGTATTTTAACTCTGTGATAACCTTGCCAGCCAACTAATCAATGTAAGTCAGTTCGATATCTCTTAGAGTCCGCATAAACTAGGGCCTAAGGTAAGGTGGTATTGTTGCTGTCAACTCATTATCTCTATAATGAATCCGAGAATCAGAATCTAATCAAATGTAAGCAGTTCGATAATCTTGGAGGTCCGAAACAGGAAGCCTTTCCACAGCAAGTGCGCTTCCTACCAGCATCTGTATCAATACTTCAACGAAGGAACACAGAGATTCAGGAGAGAACAGTCGCCAATGATGTTGAAAAGAGGAGGTCATATGCCGGAAAATTACTAGAAGAAACCTCCCGCGACCGATTTGGAAAATCAAAAAAAAGGCCGCCCATTGCTTACCTTTTTCTTCTTCTACTAGTGGAGAAATAGCAAAGTCGGTAGCCTTTGCTCAGTTGCGCCACCTCTGTTCAGGAGAATACTGCAACTAGTGTCGCGACCACCAGCGCAAGTATAAATAGTTACAGCGCTCCCGTGACGTCACGTTGTCGCGCGACAGGTCGGCAGTGGCGAGTCTACAAGACGCTTAATACACTGACTGATAAGTACCTCATACAACCCCACTTCTATCAATGTGAACTAAGCCTTTAAGAAAGGAATTCTCTGTGCGTAAACAAAGCCAGTGTTCTTCCCTCTCTCTCTATCTTGTTTCCTGTCTGTCTCAGTGATGATGATGCAGATCTGTCTGCAATCACTCCTCTGCTGGTGGCCTCCTACACGCTCTGCTACACTCCCTTTGTTGTGTCTGAGGTGACACTCACTACTTACACACACAGAACAACACATGAGCCATTGTATCTGCATGCACACAGAGTGAACACAAACTTGTCCACTTACAGACTGTCTGTTTCTTCCTCTACATTGACCAATCAGCTGATCCTGCTGGGCAGGCTGGACCTGTCACCGGCGCCTGATTGGTTAAGGACCCTGTCATCGGTGATGTCATACCTGGACTGCGGTCTGAACCCTCTTATCTACTGTTCCCATCAGGACTTCCGGGAGGCGGGCCTGGCCCTGCTGTGGACCAATAGGAAAGCACCATCAGAGCCCGTACTCACTGCTATCACCAAACATGACCTGTGAACATGTGAAGGGTTCCACATTTATTCTACTGAAATTTCATGAGGAGAACGACACATCTCACAAGCATCCACATTTATCTTACATCAGTATGTAATTACTTAAATTAAAGGTCTTTGTCTTCTAAATGTGCATACAGTAATATACTGTATATTCTAACTGCTGTTTGGTTTCCATCCAATTTTCCACTGGAAATGTTTCAATTAAAGTTCTATCAGAACCTTTTCAACATGGATTTAAATCATTAAGACCCAGCTGAGGAGTTTTTTTTATACCTGTTTTCACTTTTTGAAACAAGGATGTAGTGTGCAACCAGGTTGTCAACTGCAGGGGAGTCATCATTTACTAAATGAACATCATGCTGTATGGAAGAAGACTGAAACTAGAGATTGAAACCATAAACTTATCAGGAAACTGTTTACTGAGCTCGTAAATTGAATGAGAAGTTGGCTCATTCTCCATTAGAGTGAATGGGATCTCTGTGTTATTGCAGCCAATGGAGCTCCCCCTGCTGGAATTTACATAGAATGCAGATTTTAAGACACTTCGCGTTGGCTTCACTTTTTAGACCTGGAAGGTCTGTGTATTATATATACTGTCAATGTTTTAAACACAAAAATCGATACAGTGTTTTTGAGAATTGATACAACATCACAAAACAAAATATTGCAATGCTCAAGTGTATCAAATGAAACCAATTACAGTCAACCCAGGAGCAGGAGCCACTTATAGTCGAGACTACGAGAGATGGCATTTTATTCTCGTCTAGTAGGTTATTTTAAATAATTTAATACCAAACCTTGACATGTACTGATAATTTCTGAGAGGAAATTGACAGGGTACTAACAGCAATTCTTTAGGAAACAGAATGACAAGATGGTCAGTTTACAGTATCTCAGAGTGGAACGTTAGTAGTTGTGCACAATATGGTAAAAACCACAACATTGATTGTTTAGACAGATACTGAAATATGATCCACGAGTGTGGGAATGACAATTTTTGCATTACAAATTTAATTTTGGGGCGGCAGTAGCTCAGTGTGTAGGGACTTTGCTTGGGAACCTGAGGGTCACTGGTTCAAGTCCCACAGACCACAATATGGAGTGTGGACTGCTAGCTGGAGAGGTGCCAGTTTCACCTCCTGTGCACTGTCGAGGTGCCCTTGATCAACGCTACCCAAAATCACTCCACCAGCTCTCTCCCTGTGTGTATTTCAGCCTGTGTGTGTGTGTGTGTGTAAAAAATAAACAATTTCCCCAATAGGGGATTAATAAAGTACATATCTTATCTTTAATTTTCACTGAAAAAAGTCATGATGATGACATCATGACATTTGAGGTCTGTATCAAACAGGTTTTCTTACATCTGGAGAACAAGATTTGTGCGCCAGGGAAAATCTGCAACAATACAGTACTTCATTATAATGAATATATATATAGATATATACATATATAACTTAACTTTTATCAAAAATGTGCAGCTACTTGCGATTGGCATATTGCACTTGGCCATATTATGATTCTGATAATATTGCAATTAATTGTGCAGCCCTAGTGCACAAGGTCACCAAATCATCAGCCCATAAGCATGGCCCTCAAACATTTCATTTGTAAGATATCTGAAAGGCACACGTCTACATCATGTCAATTTATCCCATGTGAACTGTCCTAAAACCTAATTTGTGAAATTGTGCATCACAAGCTCCATCTCTGTGCTCCATCATGTCGGGTCCATCAAGTTTAGCTTTATCCTCAGAAATGGCGATCAACATAACTTCACATTCACAGAAACATCACAAGATTTAGTACATGACACAAGAAGCATTTGAATGTAAATGTTACTTTTTATGGATCAGGCACTTATCTATACAGTTTCAGAAACAAATTCAACCACAAACTCAGAGCAGATGCAGCAGATGAGACGTTGGTCTAGTAACATTACTATCACCAAGCAACCACAGTCGTGTCTACAGATTGTACTAAATTAGATGTTACATTTTTGACTACAATAAAAGAACTTAATTGATTATAAAACTTTTTATATTTAAATTATTAGGATGGGTAAACGTGGCTAATGGTTAGTTAGTAAGTGTTTGAGTATACTCAACAGAGTCCAAATTCATATTTCTAGTTCTTTTGGATCTAAATCTAGTCAGTAGGTAGGGGTGCGACTTCTGACTCATTTTTAGGTGTTAAGATACTAAAGTCTTCATGGTGAATCAATAATCAAACTGGATCATTATAAATTACAATCAATCAAAACAGTCAAGCCTATTTCTTTCATTGTCCCAACTTCCAAAAAATTTGATTAAAAAAGTCTACTTCTCCTTTTGATGGGGACCCACTCATGTTGGTCAGTGGACCCCAGTATGAAAACCACTACCTACAGCCCTAATATAGGGCTATAGGTTGTGTTTTTTAAGGGACCCCTTTTCTGTCATTGCATGAACTGACAACCCCTGACTAAGTGACATATTTCAGTTTATGGAGTTTATGCAAAACAAGCACATTTTGAACAGATTATTTCCTGTGAATATCGCATCAGGGATGAGTTTTCCTGATATTTTTAGGGATGTTTTAAACAATCTCTCATATTAGGCTTTTTTTGTGGACAAGTTCAATTTTTTCTACCTGACATTTGGCTATTGTTCTATTAGCTCTTTGGGTTCAGGCCTTTAAAGCTTAAATCTTAAATAATAAATCATTTATTTCAATTTTCCTTACAGAATTGAACGAAATGCTGAGATACAGCCCTAGTGTGTATTTTTTTTAAGTCTTATATCACCCCTTAAAATCAAGAAGGCCTTGCGACCCCTATGAAGCTTTGGTGACCCCTAGTGGGGGTTGGGACCCACTGCCCTAATATTTGGACAAGGGTGTTAATGTGTATACATGGAGAATGTTTAGCTGGTGGTGCTTTAATATCCCACAGGGGACACTGTATGTCTTAGATGAATTGTTTTTCACAGTTTAATTAAAGCGTCTCATGACTTTCCCTCTTATACACTTGCTGGTCTGTCAGTCCCGCTGTGCTGCTGTCTTCCCCTGTGTCCCCTGCGTCTTCTGAGTCAGCGAGGTCAGGAAGCAGAAGCTGAAGTGGAACTGTAGCACGTCGCACACTTTGGACCAGAAGTGTCCGGTGAGCCGCTGGAAGAGCCGGTACCGAGCGAGCCAGTGGTCCAGCAGCTTCAGCAGCACGAACCCTGCACACGACAGCACCGCCAGCAGCAAGTATCCCCGCGTGCGGCCGTCCCCGCGCTCCCGCTGCACGCGCACTCCCTTGTACACCGCGAGCGCAACGTGACAGCCCAGCGCCCCCTCAAAGCCCCGCTCGTGCGCCAGCGCCAAGCCGTAGCTGAGGAGAGACAGCAGCTCGAGCGCCGCCGCGTCAGACGCGCGCCACTTCGCCGGCCCGCGCTCTACGAAGCAGATCCACGCCGGAACCCACGCGAAGATCGGTAACGTGAACCACTGGTCGAGCACGGCGGGAGCGCGACGCAGCACCGCCAAGCGCGTCCACTGCACAGGCGCATAGAGGACAGCCATGAAGGCGAACACCTCTCTCATGTACCGGCTCTCTTCCGTTTCACCAATGCCTCCGCGCCACAGCAGCCAGTACAGCCCTATGTAGATGTAGGCCAGGTTCACCAGGCAGTTACAGGGCATCGCCAGGAACCCGGGCAGATAGTCGATCCTTTGCTCCGCATAGTGGTCATAAGACAAGTCCACCTCAACTCCGTCGAACAGACTGGTGTTCGCCAGCGCGACACAGAGCACGAAGGGCGCCGAAACGTGAAGCAGAGCCGACTTCATCACTGCCTGTAATAAAACATGTCCTACAATAGAGCTCTAAACGCTGCTGTGTGTTCTGTGTATTCCGGGTTTCAAAATCACATGGTAGAAAATGCAGGGTTTTGATTGGCTGCCTTGCTGCTCACCCCGCCCCTTCTAGATATATTCCAAAATAGTGATTTATTGAACAAACACGCATAAAACACCACCCTAGACTACTTGTTACAGAAGAGTTTCTTGAAAAGCTTTCTTGTTCATTTTTATCATGATAACAGATAGCACCAGTCAGAACAGCTTCGTATTGCCCTCAGGCTGAGACACTCCTGAATTCATCCTCAGCACTTCATCATGAACATGTTTTAAATGTCTTAATAATCGCCATAGACTGTATATGGTTTTTGTATAGCCTATATTTTTTTGTTTTAATGAGCAGCATGAGGGGAATTACAACTTGGATTTCATTATACAACCCTGGGTTATAAAATGAGCATTAAATTAACCTGGTATCTGTGAGCCCACAAGAGTTTGTCAAGTCCTTGATCCAATCCCCTCGGGTTTGCTCATCTATGCCAATATGATGTAACCTCTTCTCCTGAGCCAGCTGACACCTGTTTTGGTTTTAGCAGCAACTTGAAAAGACCATGGTATTGTCTCTGCTTCCAATGACGCCATATGTGGTCCTTAATCGGTACCCAGTCCCCTGGCTTCAGACTGTGGATGACAACTGTAAGATTGCTTGTAAGAAAATATCGAAAAATATCAAATTGCAGTATTAATTTTGTTTTGTGATATTGTATCGATCCCCAAAAACACAGTAGTAATTTTTGGGTTAAACCCCCAACAGCTAGATAGCAGTGTTGTAAACTGAAGGTTGACTTTCTCTGTGAGTAGTTTGGAATCCAGGATGGAGAGGAACTTATTTGCCAAATCAACAAACCTTATCACAGATTTTCTTTACGGGGAAATCTGTTTTAAATTGTTTATTTTTCATTTGCTGCCCACTGGACATGGCTGCATACTCCTCTGCATCTGTCTGTTTGTTAGTCTTTAAACATGTCTTAAGCTCGTCCTGTTCTTTTAGACTAAAGCTTCCATACCCACTTATCAAATTGTTTCATTGATGCTTCATCTTTTTAGTTATTTATTTTACAATTGGTGGATGGATTTTAGGACCTGTTTTCCTCTCAGACTTCGCTGTACTCTAACTTTTCCCCATCTTTGATTATATTGTCTCTTGTATTTACACAATATTCTGGTCCACTTGTTAGGCGGATACACCAGAAAATGATCTCAGCTCACCGAGCTGGGCTGTGTGGGTATGTCTTACAAAAAAGGTTGGGGACCACTGCTCTGGTCAGTCCCTCTATCACACAAAAAACTGTACACATAAAGCTACATTTTCTAGGGTCAAACTATATTAACCTGCTTTTTTCAACTTGAATGAATGTGGAACTATATCTCATTCTCATAATAATATAACTACCACAACAAAACAACTCTGGATAGCCAGCTTTAAGGTGCTTTATCAGGTTTGATCAATTGTTCCTTTTTTCCTGGTCAGAGCACCTGTAGTTATTTGCAGTCAAACTCCTTACCAGTACCTGTAGTGACGTAGAATAGTTTGATTACTGAGAAAGGACACATGAGTCATGACAATAACCATTGTTATTACATGATGTGTCATTGTTCATACACAGACATGGCTGCTTCATTCACTAGGCCCAACCCTCACTGCGCCCCAGCCTTAGGAAGAGTGGCTTCCAACTTTAAAGCCTGTACCTTTCCCTGGAGACAGAAAGAGTATCTCTCTGAGGGGTAACATCAAGAAAAAGAGCAAGAGGAAGAACTGGTTTGTCAGTTAAGCTCTGCTATGCTCTGGGCGCAGAGAATGAGGAAAAACTGAGACAGAAGGAAGGAGGGATCAAAATAGAAGAAACAAAAGACAAAAGACTGGAAAACATAAGGCAGCATAAAATCGCAGCAGAGGAACAAAGAGAGAGCGACCAAGGAACACACACAAAGAACCTGCCATTAAGAGAGAAAGCGGTAAGAATCTGCACCTTATCAAAAAGTACATTGATACAGGGACATAAACTGTGGTTAAATATTAATGATGCTCTGTTGGGTGATTCAGCTGTTGCAGTAGCGATGAGCTACATTTTAACTGCTTAATATACTGTTTAATCTGTAAAAACACGTTACAAATTCACATTATGCTTTCTATGTAAAATCTCTATGTGTGAAGTAACTAACTTGTAACTATAGTTGTCGCATAAATGTAGCTGTTCACTAAGAAGCACGATATTTCTCCCTGAAATGTAGTGGAGTAGAAGTATAAATTAGCAGGAAACAGTACTCAAATAAAGTACCAGTACCCTAAAATTGTATTGTATGTAAATAAAGTTAAGTACTTGAGTAAATGTAATTAATATTTTCAACAGCGGGATCTAATATGAGGTATTAACAAATACTGAACATACATATAGGCAATGCTGTAGATCAGAAAGATATAAATGAAAAGTATCCTGTTTGTTAATGTGGGATGTTACATTATGAAACCCGCACACATGCGTACCTGAAATAAATCAGTGTTGACTTTTGATTTCATGTGATGGCCAGGTAGTGAGCAGAGGTTAAATGAATGGTTAAAAACAGTGCAATCGTGTCTTCAAACTGGAACAACTGGGAATAATGGTGGTACTTGGAGAGCCTGATATTTTTTTGAGGTGGTAGAGTACGTGCTGTGAAAAATGTGAGAAACACTGGTCTAGTCGATTCACAGGTCTTTTATACGCGTTGGCATGAAACTGGGCTGCATTATGCTTTTGCTTTGCTTCTGTTAGTAATATGTGTTATATGGATAATATCTTTTGTCTGTCTCACATTGGATACTCTACACAGAAAAAGTCACCTGCACACTATATGGATACATGCTCAAAAATACTCCCTGACAAAAAAGATCAAAACACTGATGATGACCTCACACACAGGCTTTGGTCACACTCAGAGTACTGCTGCACACAATCACATACCCTCAAACAAGTCGCCCACGCACTGGATCTGCACCATGTCAGATCCAAATCTAGACTTTTGTACTGCTTGGGGATTGAAGGGTTCCACCTCTGCTTTTATTCCTGAGGTGGATGATGCAAAAGCACTGATTCCTCCCCCACTACCTCTCAAACGCCACCAGAGGTCACCTGAATTTGAGACAACTTTAAGCCAGGGCCCACAACTAAAAGCCTTTAATATAGAGAGCTCACTGGCATGCAAGTCTTCTCCTGGAGGCCCCAGTCAATGCTTGGATCTTGTCCCAGGGGAAGTACAAGACATGCACAGTAGCTGCATATTTTTACCAAAAGTGGAACAAAAATGCCACAAAAATGAACAAACACAGTTTGCTCCAAGACCTCCTCTTACACCACCTATAAAACCTCCACGGCATAATAAGCCAAAAAGGGCTGAGCTAGAGGAAGAAAACACAGGAGACAAGAAGAACAGACAGGAGCAAGAGCTGGTGGAAAGAAATGAGAATACAGAAGAGAATGGAGAAACATCTAAAATAGAAAGTCATCTGCATATAGGTAAACCTCCACGGCAGATCTTAGTAATATTTACAGAATATTTACAGGAGAAAGGTGGAGAGGACAGGGGGGAGGAAGATGAAGAACCTAATAATATTGGGTTGACCACTACCTTGACAAAAAATTCATCCCTGCTAGCAATGAAAGGCTCAGACCTTACCTCAGATGAAGAACCTGACATGGCAGCAACGAACAGAAAGTCTATAGTTTCAGTGAAACAAGAACCAACAATTCCACCACAGCCTCCTCCAAAGTCACATCAGAAGTGTCGCCCAAAACCACCAATCAAACCTCCACAGCTCTTCAGCGCCATGAGGTCCAGGATAGAAGAGGAAACGGAGAATAGGAAGCAGGTGGATGAATGGTTAAGAGACAATGGCTTGGTGGACAAAGAAAGGAATAAAGAGGAAAATGAAGGAAAGGATGGAGGAAAGGTAAATGTAGATACAGAGTCAATGATACCAACCATGACAGAAATGCCGTCCCGACCAACAGAAATAGTAATGAAATCCATCCCCAAGTCTTCAGTGTATCAGGAGGTAGAATTGCCAAGAGCAGGGCAAAGATTTTGTCTCATGCCCCCTTGTAGAAACAAACCAACGTCAGAAATCACAACTGAGAACAAAACTCTTCATCATTCTCAGCTCCCAGGGAAACAACACCAGAACCATGCAAATGAAGTCCATCATGGTCCACTTCCAAAAAAGATTACTATTCCTGTTCGATGGGTACAAGACTCTGAAGTAATTTCTAAGTTGCAATCTGGACATCAGGAAGGGACAGAGGTGGTGGGGTCGAAGTTGGATCCACATCAGCTGGATGCACAGGAAATTGCTGAGATGCTTTTGGATGGAGAACTAAAGCAAACAATCCAGAAGACCAATGCAAGAGGAAAGGTGAAACAGCTTGCCAAGAAGGTGATCGGTAGATTGAAAGAGGGACGAGAGGACAAAAGAAGAAGCAAAGCGCTAGAGATGGAAACAGATGATACTGAACTGACACAGGTAGGTTTTACTTAAATTACTTCTCAAAAACATGTCACCCTTGTTTACCTTGAAACTTGTATTTTGTCAGGGAAAGCCAGTAACTTTCTGCAATGTCTGGCTTTACATTCTCAGTTATGCAGAGTCATACCAACATCAATACAACCACAGTCTTCTGGTTACGACACCTTTCGTTGTTCTCTACTGTTGGTAATCAAGCAGTTCTACAGGAACATGTAGGGGTTTTGTGCCTTAGATCAGGGGACACTGTAAATGTAAACATTTCACTCACCACATCTATTGTATAGATTTGAGAAACACTGACTCTGGTTTGTGTTTGAGTCAGAATTTAGCCCCCCAGTAATTTCTACTGTTAACTGGAGTGCTACTGTCTGGGAGTATAAAATAGTTGTCACCATGGTAACTTTACAGTAAAGTTACTGCAGTTGCTTTATCACACTGTTGTCACAAAAAGAGATCTTGATCTACCGGTCGATCTTTGTTCCTACCCTCATCTATGATCATGAGCGATGGGTCATGACCAAAAGAACGAGATCGCGGGTACAAGCAGCCGAAATGGGTTTCCTCAGGAGGGTGGCCGGCGTCTCCCTTAGGGATAGGGTGAGAAGCTCGGTCATCCGCGAGGGACTCATAGTGGAGCCACTGCTCCTCCGAGGACTAATTTGAGGTGGTTCGGGCATCTGGTGAGGATGCCTCCAGGGCGCCTCCCGAGGGAGGTGTTCCTGGCACGTCCAGCTGGGAGGAGGCCACGGGGCAGACCGAGGAGGAGGCTACAGAGTAAAACACTATGTTATTAGCTAGCGAATTTACATCAATTGTTAACTAGCTAGTTACATCAGAAGGCTAATCTCAGCGAAACGCTAGCTTAACTATCTTAAAAATTCTTTTCAGCATAGATGAGCCTAGCACATAGCATGTGTTTAAAGGGTTAATTATGATTGGAGTACAGAGGAAAAGGGGTGGGGCTTAGGAACTAATTAAACTAATTAGTTGTGATACAGTCTACGATCTGTAGTTTAACTCTTGAAAAATAAAAGCTTCTTTTACATGCTTATTATCAAGGATGAAAGGTGGCATGGGGAGGAAGAAGGGATGAAGGATAAGGAGGAAGAGGAAGGGAATGATGAAGTTACTGTGGACCAATCAGCAGTGACAGAGACACAGAGCTATGCTGGCCTGATCAAAGGGAGGATTGCAAGAAGAAATGCAACATCTGAAAGGTGAACCCACTCTTACCTTCTCTATCTTGTTTACTCACAGGTGTACATATATTCAGTTCATCTAGTGTTAAAAAACACTGAATTCAATGGGCATCAGCCTACCAAGATACTGATGCCAGAAGAAGAAAAGTATTTCTTTTTATTGCTTTTTTTAATATTGTATATTATATTTAGTATATTTTAACCTTTCAAGTCTATTTTCTTCAATGTATTTAATCATTGTTCCTTGTTAATGTTAAACACATAAAGCAGTAAACAGTCAAGTTTCTATTACAGTTAAAAAACCACCTTCAAATACAATTACTGAATCAAATGAATGAAATAAATACATTCTGGTATATTAAGGATAAAGATAGTGCCCTAGTATCATACACCCTACTATGTTAAAATCCCACTTGTGTTTCCTTGCCAAAACTTCCTCCTTTGTCTTTCTCTCAATCACACACAAACACACACACACACACGGTCTGAAAGTCCTCGTCTTATCACAGGCGTATTATATTTCAGGGAGAGTCTGGAAGTTTGCATCGTTCAGGAAATGACAGTCATACTTGTCTCACCACTTCAATATTTAAATTTTTGGTCTTCTCTTCCGCCTTCTGTCTTTTCTCCTTTTTACTTTCTCTCTTCCAACTCCCCTCCTCTCCACTGCTCCTCCTCCTCCTGATTCCCTCTCTCCCATGCTCCTGTCGCCTATTCTTCCTCCCTCCTCTCTCTGTTCTCATCCACTATCTTTCTGTTAATCAGTAGGAAAGTCTCCTGTTTTCCCTATGGTTATCTCTCTTTCAAATATGCACACAGACACACACACACACACACACAGACATCATAGTTGATGATGCAGCTGGGAATTCTGGTTCTCAGATCAAATAACTTGATGAAAAACACAATTCTTTTCATCATCATTGTGTTGTGTGGTAAAAAAGTGCGCACATTCGAGCAGTGGCAATTTCGCGCACTGTGGGGCACAATCCTTATTACTCTGTGTGTGTGTTTTACTGAACAACCAACATAGTTTAAGAATTATTACTGAAAATACAGATAAATACTGCATACAGATTAGGATACAAATAGGAGCAGACACAGCCTAATTTCCCAGTTCAGCAACATTGATCATTGTTTTAAGCAGCGGCTGCTCATTACCGTAACCTGAAATTTGATGTGTGTGTAAAGTAATATGTAATTATAGTTAAATGTGCAATATTTCCCCCTGATATGTAGTGGAAAGGGAATATAAAGTGGCATGAAAAGATAATAATCAAGTAAAGTACAAGTACTTCAAATTTGAATTTAAAGGAACATAATCTAGTGGTGTAGTTGCTGATTTCAACTCACTTGCTTCACCCTCCCTTTCCAAGTGTGAGGGAAAAACTATAGTGGCCGCAAAATGCACAAAAAACTCAGAGGGCCCTATCGAGAGTCAGTGTTTGGTTT